ATCTATCTATCTATCTATCTATCTATCTATCTATCTATCTATCTATCTATCTATCTATCTATCTATCTATCTATCTATCTATCTATCTATCTATCTATCTATCTATCTATCTATCTATCTATCATCTTTTTTTTTTTTTTGAGATATTTTTGCTATAGGGCATGTGCACACACCGGAAAGACAGAGCAACAGAGAGACAGAAAGCAAGAGATCGCCTCCTCCGGGGGGTGGTCACGCCGCAATCCCTTCCCTTCCAGTCTCCTCTCAGGATTTTGGGCGCACATGCACACCTGTCCAGCATGAGTTTTAAGCCGTCGGGTCTGGGACTCAAACCGCGTTCAATTTCGTGGGAGTCCAGCGACGTAACCATTATGCCATTTGCTGGCCCCTATCATTGGTCAATCTACCATCTGTCCATTGTTGAAATTACCAGAAGGAGTGTGCGCTTGCATAGGAGAGAGCGAGACGAAGAGAGCAACTCCAGTGGGGTGTGGCCACACCATAACCCCCTCTCCTCCATGTTTCCATCCTGTTGGGATCTCGGGCCCTCACATGGACTCCGTGTGTTTTTCAAGCTGGGGGGGTGGCGGCTGGGATTCCAACCATAGTCAGCCATGTGAGAGGCAATTCCCCTAACCACTAGGCTACGGGGCCAGCTCTCTCCTTCTTCCTTTCTGCCACCCAGCAGTCTGCAAGCTCTGTGGCCCCTGCCTCCCACAAGTCACTCAAGTCCTCTCACCATGTCAGGCTTACCCCATATTCCTGAGCCACTGCTGACTCCCGTGGGGACAGCAGCGGCAGCAGCCTCCACTCAGCAGCTAGGATGGTCTTTCTAAGATGCAAATCCAATCACACTCTGCTCAAACCCCCCCAGGGGGTCTCCTCTGCTCCAGAATGAAAGCCAACGCCTTTATCTGGGCCAGCCAGGCCCTGCGTCAGGGGGTTCAAATGCCAGCCTGTGCCTTCCTTGGTCCCAGGCATCCTGTGGTCCACGTCTGTACCTGTCTCAGGACGCCCATGGCCCTGGACAGGCCAGGTGTCTGCAGTTGTTCCCAGGGTGCACTGCCCTTCGCTGGACCGAGGAGCGGGCTCCTCAGCTCTGTTCTCCTGGGACTGGAGGCTGAGGTCAGCCGTCTTACTCACAACCGTCTGCCAAACTGTAGCCGGGGAGTAGCTTGGGGCTTAATGTCAGAGGTGGGGATATGGCTGCCTCTAGAACTGCAAGAATTTCCCACTGTGTCTTGAAGTGAAAATAGCCAGAAATGGTGGGGGAGGCGTTAGGGCTGGGGCCAGGATTGTGTATGTGTGATGGACAGGAGCCGGCAAATCAGAGATACTTTCCACCAGCTTGACCGGGAGGCTTCTCTGTCTTTTTTTTTTTTTTTTTTTCCTTTCTAAGTTCCAGAGGGCATGCGTCCTCACCAGACAGAGACAGAGAAAACACCCTCTGATGGTCAAGCCTCAGTCTCTTCTTCACTTCTTCATCCACTTGGGATTTGAGGCACACACACACATACACACACACACACACACACACAGTGTGTTTTTCAAGCTGTCTGGGCCAGGACTTGAACCGCGGAGGACCAGGTGGGATCTGGCTTCCTTAACCACCAGGCTACGGTTGTCCATGGGAAGTGCTGGAGTAAATGACTATATCCTCCTCTCCCCACAGGCCCTGCAGTTATGGCAAAGGAGGTGGGGACGCCCACGACGAAGAGGAGCTCTACTTCCACTGTGAGTCCTCGGGGCCTGACTGGGAGAGGCGGGCTCCACCCCTCCACCCCCACTCCTCACCCCTCTGCCTCGCTGCCTTTGCATTATCCTTTCTTCAAGCTCATCTTTGTCTCCCTGCGTTCTCAGTCAAAGTCCCGACACGTCGCACGTTCCTGGACCCCCAGAGCTGTGGGGACCCCCTGCAGGCCGTGCACCTGTTTGCCAAGGAGCTGGATGCGAAAAGTGTCACCCTGGAGAAAAGCCTCGGAACAGGCAAGCTGGCCACCTGGAGGTCTCTTCTCCATCTGGAAGCCCACCTCTACCCAGCCCATCTGCCCACTACCTGGGAGCCCTGGGAGCCTCGCCTCCATGCTCTCTACCCCCCACCCCCTTTTTTTGGAGAGATTTTTTGCTATAGGGTGCATGCGCTTGCCAGACAGACAGAGAGAGACAGAGAGACAGAAAGCGAGAAATCACCCCCCAGAGGGGATGGTCACGCCGCAATCCCTTCTCCTCCATTCTCCTCTTGGGATCTTGGGCACACACACATGGGCCCAGCGTGAGTTTAAGCCACCGGGTCCGGGACTCGAACCGTGGTCGACTACGTGGGAGTCCAGCGACATAGCCATTACACC